GAATAAAAGTTCCATAAATTCTTGAATTTGTCGAATTAAAATAAACAACTGTTCATGACTTCGTCGATTGTTTAAATTCTTCGATAATGCCTTGCGACCTTGGGGACTTGAGCCCGCAGATCTCAAAGTATCAATAAAGAAAATGAAAACGTCATTTAATTTTACATAGAATTTTCACAAGATGGCGCAGGCGAATGATGTAATAAGTTTGTATGCATCAAGATTAAGGCAGTCCCTTCTTGATCTGTCCAGAAGATTGCAGTCCAGTCCAGACGAAGAAGTTGTAGACTTCCTTATATATCATTCGCTTGGAACAAATATGTGGTCACTTGACTCGAATGGGAAACAGATTTAACTCAACCTTCCATGCTATTTCAGAAGTTATTTCACTGCTTCGAAATTTAAATTTAGAAAACAGAACAACTCTTCCCAATCTGTTAGAACAAAACAGAGCTAGCTCTGTGGGAAGACCGAAATTTGTTATCACCAGAGACATTTGTTGTCCAGCAGGAACAAAAACGATGTTATTAGCAGCTGTAATAAGTTTTTCTGCACAGTCTCTCAGAATATTTTCCATTTTTAGTGTCTAATATCGACAGGCTTTTTCATTCATTTATTAAAATAAACGTATATAAATGAATAATGCAAGACGGCGAACAAACGAAACGTGTTTATGGAAAACTTCATGTAATTCTACTCAAAATAAATCCGAGATCTGCGGGCTCAAGTCCCCAAGGTCGCAAGGCATTATCGAAGAATTTAAACAATCGACGAAATCATGAACAGTTGTTTATTTTAATTCGACAAATTCAAGAATTTATGGAACTTTTATTCGACAAATTCATATATCACACGTCAAATAGCTACTCTTCCAAAGACAGATATCGACAAATTTAAAGTATTGCATTTTGAACCCGAAAAAGCGCCATAGAGTGATAGCTGTTTTTCTTTTTTCACAATAATGTATGCAGTCTGCACAGAAACTTAGAACATTTGCAAACTCAAATATTGGATGAGCTTGATTTTTCATTTAGTGTAATAGGCATCACAGAAATGCATATCAAACAAAATAATTTTAACGATTTCAACTATAATATCACTGGATATTCATTTGAATTTGTATTAATTATGTGGTCATTGAAAAGGCTATTAACTCATTAACGTGCAAGCTGTTACAATGTTATATGGCGAATACATGTTCTGTATTCAAGAGCTTTCACCAAAATGGCAATATCTCAGAAACAGTTGCATGAAAAAATCTGGTCTTTTTAACCAAATATTATTGATATATGATTGACCAAATTTAGTTTAAATGAACTTGCATACCTATATATATCATTAGTTTTTTCAATGAGAATTTTTATTTGTAAAAACACTTTGTTTTTCATGTTACTCATCACCTAAAGGGGCAATATCTCCATAAATTTATATAAAAACTAAAAAAATTCATTTACTAAATTAGTACATATCTATATTATAACCAATTTTCATCTATTGGGATATGAATTAGAAAATGATCAAAAAATATACTCCTTTGCTTTTTTTGGGCAAGATGTTTACAACATGAAATTTAGAACAGCAACTAAGTGTTCAAATTCAATAAAGTGTGAAAGCCAAAACACAGTGCTTGTATATATCTTTCAAGTTTTTAGTTACTTCAAATATATTTAAAAGGACATATGGTACTAGAATCTATTTATTTTCAATATAAACCAAGGATGGGAAGGTGAGAAAATCGGAATTTTGTGAGGTGTTTTTAACACAGACAATGACAGGTGACATTTTCAAAGGCAAATTGTGGTGACAAAACCAAAAGCTATTAACCTCTCTACTCAAAGCACTGAAAAACACCATAAAAAGAAAAACATTTTAAACATACATCAGGTAAGACTTTTAGCTCAATTTTCTCATGTTTTTGTTGGAAAAGCAACGGTTTTTAGCCAAAATTATTTTGAGTGCCAATGTATGTATGTAAACTTTATTTAAAGACGTTAGCCTCGTCAACGATTAGTTGATTTTCACGAGGGACATCTGTTACTATTAAAAATTACAAATATGATATAGAAAAGAATAAAGAATTATATACAACTATTTACAATACAAGAATTAAGTTCCAAACGGTGTGACCCATATTTCTAAAGCATGCATATACAGTATATTAGAAGATGTTAGCATGAATCTTTCAGGCAGTTTTTAAAAGAATAAATTGATTGCGCTAGCTTCGCATCAGAAGGAAGACTATTCCACAATTTAGCTCCGCTATACTTAAAGCTTTTTTTTTAGAAATTCTCGTTTTGGCTTAGCAAGGGTAAGGTCAGTATGAGTATTGCGAAGATTATAACTGGTTTGAACAAGGTCCCTTCTCATTAAAGCATCCTTCAAGTTCGGCCCAGCGCAATCATTCAGGACTTTATACATTAATGTGGATTTAGTTGTACGTTGTCTTATCTCTAAATTTTCCCAAGCAAGGGATCAAAGAACATCAGCAGACCTTACTTCATAGCTGGCGCCAGTTATAATTCTCGCTGCACGGTTTTGGAACTTTTGAAGCTTATCTTTCAGCTGTTGGTTACAGACGTCCCATAATGGACTACAATAATCAAAATACGGTTCAATCAAAGCTCTGTAAATGGTATGCAGGGTATTTATAGGAACATATGGCTTAATTTGTTGCATTGCTCCTATGCCGGCCCCAACTTTCTTACAAATCATTTCAACATGCTCATGCCAATTAAGGTTCTATTTCCTTGTTATGCTACGTCACAAGGAAATCACATGAGATTGCGTAACAATTACCCAACATTCAGTGCGTACCTAATTCGGCGTTCAGTGAGGGTACAGAAAATTCTGTGCCCAAAAATTATTGAAAAATATTTAAAATTTTAATTGAATTTGTCACAAAAGAACGCTTAAAAGCGAAACCAACTGTTCCGGAGCAATTTGAACCAATAATTTGGTGGTTTTGCTCGAGGATTCAGTGCGATATACCAGGAATCGTCCACGGACTCAACATGGCCGACTCCGAGGGCGAAATCGAAGATGATGCACGATTGCTCGAAGGCGATGAGGCCACACATGCACAAGAAAGTTCTTCTGGCGATCGGCACGAGAGTCAATCCAATATGGAGGAGAAGTTCGAGGAGCTATCGGGCAACATTAAAGATGGTTTTTCTTCGCTTGGCGAATTGTTGACAGATCTGATGCAACAAAAATCACGAGGCAGGCGCTCCCGCCAAAAATCAAGGTCTTCCTTGCCGGCCTCGGCTGACGGCGACCAAACAACCAGCCCTAAACGGGCAAGGCTCGAGGATGAACAGAACGACAACGTAGCTGTGTTGCTTGGCGAGTCCCAGCCCCAGGGGGAAAACTCGGGCAATGACAATGAAAAAGAGTTTGGCGCAATTTTGGACAGTGTTGTCCAAGAGCTGGACGAAGAACAGTTGGCGCCTGCTGTGTCCGAGAAGCTTGCCGAAGTTATTAATAAAACTCTGCGCTCAAAATTGAGCGAGGAAAAACTTAAAGAAAAGCAAAACGCTTACCCTAGACCACAAAATTGTGAATCACTAGAAACTACTCGGGTTAATCCAGAAATCTGGGCACAACTACAATCTTCAACCAGATCTCGGGACATACGTCTCCAGAAAGTACAAAGCCTCTTGCTGAAAGGGCTACTGCCATTAGTTCAGCTCCTTGAAAATTGTCGACAATCGGATGATAGGTCGACTGATAAAGGAAAAATCATCAAGCTGGCTCTTGACTCAGTAAGCCTAGTCGCTCAGGCAAATGTAGAGCTCAATAGCCGGCGACGAGCATTGATTAAGCCTGATTTGAATGAAAAATTTCAGCAAATCTGTGGCGATCATGTGCCGATTACAACATTGCTTTTTGGGGATGATGTGGCCAAGACACTACAGGACATTGCTTCCACAAATCGTGTCAGCCAAAAGGTTGCAACACCTACTTGTTGGCCCAGCTATGCTCACCAAAACAACTTTAATTGGCATTCAAAAAATGGACGGGGGAGGTTCAGGCCCCAAAACAACCTCCCACGTCACAAAAGGGGCCAGAGCCACTACAAACCACAGAGTCAGTGAAACTCGATAAACAGGTTAGTACCATATATTCATTTAATGATGATACTATACCACCCTTCACAGCTGGTGGGCTAAAACATTTTCAGACTGCTTGGTCAAAAATTTACTTCAGACCAATGGATATTAAAAGCAATACAGGGAGTGGAAATTGAGTTTCTAATGAAACCATTCCAATTGCAGTGAGCTAACTGTCAGTAGTTCTGAGGAGTGCATTGTTGATAATGAAATCACCAAGTTAATGAAAGCGGTAATTGAGCCTACTAACCCAGGATCAGGGGAGTTTATTTCTACCATTTTTATTCGCCCGAAAAAAGATGGGACCTTTAGAGTAATTTTGAATTTGAAAAGGTTAAATGAATTTGTTTGATACCATCACATTAAGATGGACACTATTTATACTGCAATACATTTGATGAAACAGGGCTGCTTCATGGCCTCTATTGATTTGCAGGATGCATACTATACTGTACCAGTATGCCCTAATCACAGGAAGTATCTAAAATTCTCTTGGCGAGGACAATTGTATCATTATACATGCCTGCCAAATGGTCTGGCCTCAGCCCCACGTATTTGTACAAAAATCTTGAAGCCAGTCTATGCATCACTGTGGAATAAGGGGCACATCTCCTTCGGGTATATTGATGACTCGTACTCGCAGGATGACAACTTTGACGGTTGTAAGACAAATGTCCATGACACAACCACAATGTTTGATTCATCGGGGTTTTTTCCCCATCAGACCAAGTCAGTAACCATTCCTGTCCAACAACAGGACATGACGGTCTCTTTAACCTCTGAAAGAGCCACAAAGCTTCAAACTGCTTGCATAAATTGGTTAGCAAAGAGGAGACTTTTAATTCACGGGGGTGCACATGTTATTGGCCTTATGGTGGCTAGTTTCCCCGCTGTGACCTTTGCACAGCTATTCTATTGGGCTTTTGCTTATTTACAGTGGTGGATATCCAATATTGAGACATCCTCCAAACCTGTTCTGGCCAGCCAGCCAGATATGGTAATTCAATCTGATGCATCACTATTAGGCTGGGGTGCCTATAGTGATGGAAAGCATGCAGGAGGTCCATGGGGAGAAACCGAAGCTAAGGCACACATTAATGTGTTAGAAACAATTGCAGCCTTTTTAGCATTGCAGTCTTTTTTGTTCTTGACAATACCACAGCTGTAGCTTATGTGAATAATATGGGTGGATACCAGTCCTCAGAATGCAATGCAATAGTAAGACAAATGGGGATTTGGTGCATTCAGAAAAACATCTGGGTATCGGCAACCCATATCCCAGGTGTCACTAATGTAGAAGCAGATAAAAAATCCAGGCAATTTGATGTCCATACAGAATGGGCATTAAATGATCAAGTTTTGATAGGATCTGTGTCAAAAATTTTTAGCCCCAAGTGGACTTGTTTGCATCCCGGCTTAACAAGAAGTTAGAGCAATATCGCCAATATGTCTCTTGACAGCCAGATCCCAAGGCAGTAGCAGTTAATGCTTTCAGCATGAACTGGGCTACTAAAAGCTTTTACGCTTTTCCTCCCTTTAGCCTGTTAACAGATGTTTGGCAAAAGATCCAGGAGGAGTCAGCAGAGGGTATACTGATAATACCCCTGTGGCCTACACAACCGTGGTACCCTGTGGCAATGCAAATGTTGGTCAACCACCCACAGATTTTGCCCAAAATGCAACATCTACTTTACTTACATCAAATCATGGCGAAGCGGAACTGTCCAGCAGTACCAAGTTACTTACCATGCGGCAGCATCCCCTGGTTTGCAGATTCTTCGTGGTGTTTGCTATAACACTATACATGGGATGTTAACCTAGTGTTGACTTACCTCAAGACATTATACCCTCTTGAGAAAATCATGCTTAAAGAACATGCTCATAAACTTGTTATGTTAATAGCATTGCTATCTGGTCAAAGAACACAAACAATAACACTAATGGACATTACGAATATACAGTTTACCGATGCTGGTGGTTGTCTTATATATATTACATCTACTTCGGCAGCTAAGGCAGCGGGAGTTTCTATAGATGAGATACTCAGTAGTGCAGGACGGTCTAATTGTGCAACTTTTCAGACATTCTATAACAAACCTGTTGAAAATGGAGCAAGTTTTGCTGAAGCAGGTCTAAAGACAGTTATTTAAAAAGTTTCACAGTACATTTACATTATTTTTGTTCTGAGCTATTGCCTATGTTAAGGCTTGTATAGTTTATGTTATCAGCATTTACATTGTTGTTTATACACTTTGTTTATCTGTTTTCACTCCCAAACATTGGGCTTTAAAATCTCATGTGATTTCCTTGTGACGTAGCATAACAAGGAAATAGAATTCTAAAATTAAACAAGACTTACCTGTAAGTTGAAGTTTGATTG